CATGCCCCGAATAGACGAGTTGTTGGACCATCTTGGAGGGGCCGCCTATCTGTCGACCCTAGACCTGACAAAGGGCTATTGGCAAATCCTGTTATCAGCGGAGGCACAAGCAAACACGGCGTTCGCCACTCCCTTTGGGTTGTACCAGTTTAGGAACATGCCGTTCGGATTACACGGGGCAGCCGCGACATTTCAGAGACTTATGAATCGCATCTTGAGAGACCATCAGAACTATGCAGCTGCATATATTGATGATATCATAATATTCAGCAACTCCTGGGAAGAACACCTGAAGCACCTGGCAGCAATACTGGAAGCCCTAAGACAGGCAGGCCTAATGGCCAATCCCAAAAAATGCCAGTTCGGAAAAACAGAGGTCTCATACTTGGGGTACACGGTGGGGAGGGGGAAACTTAGGCCCTTGGTAGATAAGGTGCGGGCCGTACGTGAATACCCCACCCCCACCACGAAAAGAAGGATAAGACAATTCCTCGGCCTGGCGGGGTACTATAGGCGGTTCATAGCTAACTTTTCATCATTAGCAGCCCCCCTCACAGATCTCACCCGGAAAAGACAGCCCGAAAAAGTAAAGTGGACACCGGCGTGTGAGGCAGCCTTCCAGGAGCTGAAAGGTGGTTGGTATGCGTGCCGGTGCTGGCGCAGCCAAACTTTGACAAACCTTTTATCTTACAGACTGACGCATCAGAGGCCGGACTAGGGGCCGTCCTGACACAGAGGAGGGGGGTGAGGGACACCCTATCTTATATCTGAGCCGCAAACTTTTTCCCCGGGAAAAGGGGTACGCGACAATAGAGAAGGAGGCCCTGGCCCTGAAATGGGCAATTGACTCACTACGATATTTTCTTTTAGGGGGGAAATTTACCGTGGTGACTGATAACGCTCTACTCCAGTGGATGCAGACGATGAAAGAGACAAACCCACGAGTATTGCGATGGTACCTCAGCCTACAACCGTATCAATTTCAGGTGACACATCGGGCAGGAACCGCGAACGGAAATGCGGACTGCCTGTCACAAATATCCGAGACACCGGAGGGCGGGACGGTAAGGAGAGACCCCGACTTGAGGGGGAAGGTGTGTGGCGGGGGAGCACCGGCCCGAGCGACAGGGAGAATCGGCGTCCACCCGGCCCCGCACCAAGCGTGACGTCACCAACGCGACGGAGAGACGCGGCGCCCGCAGATGACGCAGGGCGAGACGTCATCGCCCTGCGTCGGGCGGGGGATTTAAAAATAGCCGCTGCCCGCCCGGTAAGGGGAGGTGAGCGGAGGGACAGGGCAGCCCAGGAGGAGCCGGGGGAGACCGGGTACTGGCGGCCCTGGGTGAGGTTAAACCCAGGGGGCCGAGGATAAAGGAGAATGGACCGGGGAGAGAAAGAAGTGACCCAGGGCGGGGCCGCGGAACCTGTGAGCAGGGGAGTTTAGGGTTCGCAGACCCCCCCCCCCCCCGTTGTGAGTGAGGACTAGTGTCCTGACTCTAGGGCCCTGGGTCGGGGTCCGGAGCGAGGGTGGGCCCGGACCCCCTTCCCTCCCCCCGCCACTTTTCCCCGGCGAGGGGCCGCTGCCCAGGAGGCGGGAAATTCGTGCGGAGGTGCCGCACAGCGAGAATAGCAAGGATCACAGAATTGCAGGGGTAGTAGAGAAGGCGCCCTCGGCAACAGGGCAGGCGAGGGCCCCCCCCCCCTTTTTCCAGCTGGGGGTGCCTTACAGGTACCAGAGGACTACTTGTTGTTTTTAAAGTTACAGACTATCACAGCTACCCCTCTGAGACTTATTAATTGCAGTTACAGAAGTGAAGAATAATAGGGTAAGCCATGTGTGAGCTAGCGCAGCATCATGCTAACTTCCTCATGGACTCTGCCCGAATCCTGGCCCCTGCTATTGCTGAAGCAGGACCTCCAGATAGTTAGTCACAATGTGGGTAAGGGTGTATTTTCCAGGTCACCCCTATAACTGACTAGTCCACTCCACTCACAAACGTTGTATTTGGTCACTATACATTTGACTGCTTCAGCTGCAGACACTGCAGGTTTCCCTCCAGCAGCTAGGAATAACGTTTCCCTTTGCCATTAGGCACTACAAGAACAGTTATGGCTTCCAAAATATGAAAGGCCTGACAAGATATAAAATGCCTTTTGCAGCCTGCCCCCACTCCATATGGCAATTAGTTAAGAAATTTTTGTGAAACAGAAAATAGATTATAATGTTAAACTTACCATTGAAATAATATAGTGAAGTGCCTGTGCACTCTGTCACATGACAAAGAATACTTGTCACCTTTCTTATACATTATTTTTATTAATAGACATTTAAGCTTCAGAGAATGTTGATTCCCTTGATGAATTCATAAGCAATCAAGGGAAATCTGCACTTGATTCATCAGAGAGCTTTGGATCTGATTTATGTCTTGTGTGCAGAACAAGCATCACAGGTAACTCCATTTTCTAAGTTGGCTATTTATCTGTAATAAATAAAAAGAACAGTCTAGAATTACACTGGATTGACTTCACCTCTGATCCAAAATAAAATGTAGCCTGAGATACAATGTGAATGGGGAGACATATTTAATAAGCTGTTGTCTAGGTGTGCAATGGAGAGTGTATCCTACAGAAGCACAGAAAGGCCAGTTAACAGTTCCCTGAAAGGAGAGCCAGATTTAAGTGAGGAGGAAGCCCAGCTGGGGGATAGTCTAGTAGAGGGCTATAAACAGAGGAAGTTGGCTACTGAAAATTTTGCAGCATTTTCTTTTTATTTGACTTCATAGTAAATAAACATTTAAAGTCATGCACCTTGTTAAATATCCCTTATTTTAGGATTATGTCTTCCATAGCATTTAAAAAAATATATACAAGATATTTGTTAATAACTTGGATGCCACAGTGGCACCCATCAGAACAAGCGCACATGACCTCAATATTGGTGCACAAGACAAAACTCACTCCGCTCATGGATGGAAAAGTCTTCGCAGCATCATGCTAACTTCCTCATGGACTCTGCCCGAATCCTGGCCCCTGCTATTGCTGAAGCAGGACCTCCAGATAGTTAGTCACAATGTGGGTAAGGGTGTATTTTCCAGGTCACCCCTATAACTGACTAGTCCACTCCACTCACAAACGTTGTATTTGGTCACTATACATTTGACTGCTTCAGCTGCAGACACTGCAGGTTTCCCTCCAGCAGCTAGGAATAACGTTTCCCTTTGCCATTAGGCACTACAAGAACAGTTATGGCTTCCAAAATATGAAAGGCCTGACAAGATATAAAATGCCTTTTGCAGCCTGCCCCCACTCCATATGGCAATTAGTTAAGAAATTTTTGTGAAACAGAAAATAGATTATAATGTTAAACTTACCATTGAAATAATATAGTGAAGTGCCTGTGCACTCTGTCACATGACAAAGAATACTTGTCACCTTTCTTATACATTATTTTTATTAATAGACATTTAAGCTTCAGAGAATGTTGATTCCCTTGATGAATTCATAAGCAATCAAGGGAAATCTGCACTTGATTCATCAGAGAGCTTTGGATCTGATTTATGTCTTGTGTGCAGAACAAGCATCACAGGTAACTCCATTTTCTAAGTTGGCTATTTATCTGTAATAAATAAAAAGAACAGTCTAGAATTACACTGGATTGACTTCACCTCTGATCCAAAATAAAATGTAGCCTGAGATACAATGTGAATGGGGAGACATATTTAATAAGCTGTTGTCTAGGTGTGCAATGGAGAGTGTATCCTACAGAAGCACAGAAAGGCCAGTTAACAGTTCCCTGAAAGGAGAGCCAGATTTAAGTGAGGAGGAAGCCCAGCTGGGGGATAGTCTAGTAGAGGGCTATAAACAGAGGAAGTTGGCTACTGAAAATTTTGCAGCATTTTCTTTTTATTTGACTTCATAGTAAATAAACATTTAAAGTCATGCACCTTGTTAAATATCCCTTATTTTAGGATTATGTCTTCCATAGCATTTAAAAAAATATATACAAGATATTTGTTAATAACTTGGATGCCACAGTGGCACCCATCAGAACAAGCGCACATGACCTCAATATTGGTGCACAAGACAAAACTCACTCCGCTCATGGATGGAAAAGTCTTAGGGTGTGTCTAAACTACATGGCTCCATCGATGAAGCCATGTAGATGAGGCTGATCGGCAAAGGGAAATGAAGCGGCGATTTAAATAATCGTGGCTTCATTTAAATTTAAATGGCTGCTGCGCTGAGCCGACAAACAGCTGATCAGCTGTTTGTCGGCTCAGCGCAGCAGCCATTTAAATTTAAATGAAGCCACGATTATTTAAATCGCCGCTTCATTTCCCTTTGCCAATCAGCCTCATCTACATGGCTTCATCGATGGAGCCATGTAGTTTAGACACACCCTAAGACTTTTCCATCCATGAGCGGAGTGAGTTTTGTCTTGTGCACCAATATTGAGGTCATGTGCGCTTGTTCTGATGGGTGCCACTGTGGCATCCAAGTTATTAACAAATATCTTGTATATATTTTTTTAAATGCTATGGAAGACATAATCCTAAAATAAGGGATATTTAACAAGGTGCATGACTTTAAATGTTTATTTACTATGAAGTCAAATAAAAAGAAAATGCTGCAAAATTTTCAGTAGCCAACTTCCTCTGTTTATAGCCCTCTACTAGACTATCCCCCAGCTGGGCTTCCTCCTCACTTAAATCTGGCTCTCCTTTCAGGGAACTGTTATTAATAAAAAACAGGATTAAGGGGTGCAGGCCAAAGCTTTAAAACAAGGGAACCGGATGGGACACCAAGCAGAGAACTCCGGACAGCGCCCACTGCTCCTCAAAGCTGTCGATGGAGCCAGTGGACGCCGCCCAGAGGAACTCTGCCCGGATACGTGACACAAGGGAGGAACGGAAATAGGCCCCTCGTCCAGCATCCTCCTCCTGGTATAATATACAGCAGCCCTCGCCAGGGCCAGGAGGAGGTTGACGAGGAGGTCTCGCGACTTTGTGGGGCCACGGATAGGGTGTGCGTAAATGAATAGGTGGGGGGAAAAGTGCAGCCAGAACCTCAATAAGAGGTTCTGGAGGAGCCGGAATAGGGGCTGCAACCTGGCGCATTCGAGGTAGGCGTGCGCCAGGTTCTCCCTCACGCCGCAGAAGGGGCAGGTGTCTGGGATAGGGGTGAACCGCGCCAAGTACACGCCCGTGCTCACGGCTCCGTGAAGGAGCCGCCAACTGATGTCCCCGATGGGCCGCAGAATTAAAGTGTAATACACACTTGCCCATAGGGGTTCCCCACCCTCCACAGGTGTTAGATAATCCCGTCACTTGGTGTCGGGGTGGGACACGAGGGTGAGGAAATGTAATGTGTGGAGCACGAGCGTGCACAGATGTTCTCTTGACACGGTTCGGAAGCAGACCGGCTGCAGATCTTGCAGCCAGCTGAGGGTCCAGGGATGGGGAGGCCCATGGAACAGGGGCCCAATAACAGTAGACGGAGGGTTTGCAGGAAGGGGGGGGCAGGGCGTACCCTCACGCAAAGACCGCTGCAGGAAATCGAGAGTAGGCTGCGGCAAACCCACCTTCACCTCCTGGAGTAGGCGCAGGGTGGTTCGAGGGGTGGAGAGCCCCATGCACTGAGCGAGCGCTCAGGGATCCACCCAGTCCCCCATGTCCTAGTCCAGTGGTTTCTGCCAGGATCAGCCTCCGGCGCACCGAGGGAGACTCCGCCACCTGCACGCACAAGGCTGGATTGTGGAGCAGGGGCTCCGCGAGGAGGTCTGCCCCCTCGGAGGCCACAACGGACCTGGTCGCCGAGAACAGCTTCCAGGTCTGGAGGAGGTCCTGGTAGAATTCCGGCAGCTCTGAGAGGTCTCGCGGAAGACCCCTCGGGTGGATAAAAAAGAGCTGCCGGTCGTATCGGAGCCCTCGGAGGCGGCGGAGGAAAGCGCGCGCCAAGGTGCTCCATGCCGGACTACCTGCACTAAAGAGGAGTCTCTGCAGGGCCTGGGGGCGGAAGGTCCGGACCTGGCTGCGTATGCAGACCAGGCCCTGGCCCCCCTCCTCCAGTGGGAGGGACAGGACCCCTGCAGAGACCCAGTGCATTCCTGGCCAAAAGAACTCCAAAGCTCCCCTCTGGAGCTTGGCCAGGACCTCTGGGTCCGGGCGCAGGGTGTTGAGCCGGTACCAGAGCATGGACAGGACCGGCTGATTTAGCACCAGCGCTCTCCCGCGAAGGGAGAGACATCGGAGCAGTCCCATCCATCTCCGCAGCTGCTCAGCCACCCTGGCCTCCAAACCTTGCCAGTTCTCCGGCGGAGAAGGATGCGTGGCGGATAAATAGACGCCCAGATAGAGCAGCGGACC